CAGGAACTGAACCAGCGGGGTCATGCGAACCACAGACGTCCCCCCGGAGGGGCAGCGAGGCGGAGAGACCGGCATGCGCAAAGGAGTTACTCCGTGCGGGTGCACAGCCGAGCCCCGTTCCCTGACAGAAGAGACCAGGAAAGGACCAGCGTTCCACGGGGGTCTGTTCTGCCGGGTGTCTGGCGATAGAGGGGGAAGGGAGTGGTGTAGTCGAGGGACGACACATGCTCCCTTCCGCACCCTCAGAGACAGAGAGGAATGAGCGGGGCGACGCACTGGGACGTCGTGCGCGCTCATTCCTGTCTGTGTGCTCAGTGATGATGTCAAGTCTTTCTTTAACCAACTCAGGGTGCTGCCCACCCGTGGGTGAGAACAAAAGATTCTCCCCCGGCCCTCCACCGGGGGAAGGAGGGGGCCTGCTACCACCTCCTGGGAAAAACTTGACCTCATCACTGAGCAGCCCGTCTCAGGAACGCTGCTTCGCCTGGCGTTTAGCGGGGCGCGCGGCCTGAGGGGGCTGTGACGCTGCCCTGCGGCCTCCTCCGCGACGCGACCCGGATGAAGGCTGCCGCGTGGGAGGCAGGGGAGCCGCAGGAGGGCGTCCTCGGCGGCGAGCAGGTGGAGGCGTCTGAGCCGACGGCTGGCTAGAAGCGGCAGCTGGCCGTCGGGGCAGGATGTGCTTAATCGCCTCCGTCTGCTTCTGGGCAGTCGAGAACTGCTGGGCAAAGTCCTCGACTGCACCGCCGAAAAGGCCAACCTGGGAGAGGGGGGCATCGAGCAGACAAGTCCGCTAGGTATCCCGCGTGTCTGCCAGGTTGAGCCAGAGATGGCGCTCCTGAACCACACTAGTGGCCATCACCTGACCAATGGAGCGAGCGGCCACTTTCGTCGCCCGGAGAGCGAGGTCGGTGGCAGCTCGCAGCTCATTAAACGCCGCTTGGTAAGTCCCCCCCCTCGTGCATATCCCTGAGCAGTTTGGCTTGGAAAACCTGCAAAGTGCTCATTGCATTTGGGGGGCGGAGGCTGCCTGTCCCGCCGCTCTATAGAAACACGCCGCCATAGACGACGAGAACCTACAGGCTTTGGATGGGTGCTTGGGAGTACCGAGAGTATATTTTCGAGCATTTGCAGTTTGGAAGACAAGGCATAATTACTGAAGTGCTGTTGAGACAGAACGTAAATATGCATGTGCAGTTAGCTTTGCTGATGAAAAACATTAGGATATGATTTTAACATCATTGCATGATGCTGCTATTTTCTCATTTATTTCACTAGTTTGGATTTATTATTGAGAGCAATTAAACCCAGTGTTTAACAAATCCCTGCGTCATAACTAAATTCAAAATGACTGGCAAAATATTTGAAAGTTCATTTTATTTTCTGTTCAAAGTTCCCATATTTATCGTTTTCTTAATATAACTTGAACCTAAATCTAAATGAGAAATGTATCACTGTAAATTGTCAATTTGATAGCAATATCATTGTAGCTCACATTAATGTTCTAAACTGCTGTTTTACCTGTGGTGTAACATTACCTGACTTTCCACGTGCATTTAAAAATGTGCAGCTTTTAATTTTCATTTATAGAGACCATAAAGGTTATCAGAAGTCTTGTAAAGGTTCTAGATTTGCCCAAATAGACACAACACTGATTTGCAAAATTGGATATCGTCATTTCACATGCATGTACAACTCTGAATTACTTAATTAGGCATTTTAAAATGCCATATTGATGAGGGCTGGGAAATCTGTCTGTACTGCATTTACTGCATATACTGCATTTAATTACATTACTTTTTTTTCCTTTTATTTTTTTTTATTGTAGATGTCAGCAACAGCAGCTGAAGTGGAAAAAAAGTTCTGCACTTCCAGACTCTCTGAGACTGATTGTCTTAGGTAATGTACGTTCCAAAATCTTTAAATTACTTAATACATTTTGCCTGTTGTATTTTAGCATACATTTTTATAAACTGTTTTCTTTTTCTCTTCATTTGTTTTATTTTTAGGTGAAATTCTCACTGCAACCCAGTGGATGCTGAGTATAGAGGGTCAAGTGGTTATGAATTAACACCCCAATTTCATGGCTGAATTTGCTGCTTTGTTTGCAACTTACTACAACTTTAATCTGGTGTACCAGCACGAGGCATCCTGTACACTTGAATATGTTCAAAGGCAACAGATTACTGAAATATATGTTAAAGGATTAGTTCACCTAAAAATTAATGTTAGTTCACCTGTCATTAATTAACTACTGGCCTTTGTTCATTTTCTGAACACAAATTAAGATATTTTTGATGAAATCTTACAGGGTTTCTGAACCATACATAGGCCACAAAATCATTGCAACTTCCAAGGTCCAGAAAGGCAGTTAAGACAATGTTAAAATAGACCATGTGACTACACTGGATCAACCTTAATGTTATGAAGCCACGAAATCTCTTCTCTTCTGTGTCAATCTCTGACGCTGTATTAAACAGTGCATCGCTTCCAGGTTCTACGTTAGAACAAAAAGTATTCTCATCACTTCATAACATTGAGGTTGATCCACTGGAGTTACATGGACTACTTTAATGACTACCTTTCTGGGCCCTGGAAGTTGTAATGATGTTGTGGTCTATGTGTGGTTCAGATACCTCTGATTTCATCAAACACATCTTAATGTGTGTTCCTGAAAATGAATGAAGGTCAGTAGTGACAGATTAACGAGTAATTAATTACAGAAATGTCATTTTGCGGTGAACAAATCCTTTTTAGTAGTGCAAATAATGCTTATTGTAAAGTAGTATATTTTCATAAGTCTGCACATGATCCTAAAGCTTCTGCTTGTATTTTTCTGACTGATTTTTGAGCAGATGTTTTGTTTGATTCAACCCATCCACTGGTACCAAGACCATCAAGGAAAGTGGAAAGACCTCAGAGAAGAGGAACAACACAGTTAATCTTCATGTGTCTACTTTTTCACATGAGGCTACCCATTGGACCTTGAGTGGTTAAGCATGTGAGTTGTCAAATGTATATATAAAACAAAAAACTGAGACGTCTATAATTACACAAAATGTAAAAAAGTACTTTGAAACAAAAATAGTAATAATAATAGAAAAGCAGAAATTTAAGTTTTAACAAGAGATGTGAGTTAACCATAATGCCATTCTGTTGTTTGAGCTTAAAGGGATAGTTCACCCAAAAATGGATAATCATTCACCATTTCCTCACCCCCATGTTGTTCCAAACCTGTATGAGTTGCTTTCTTCTGCTGAACTTAGAAGATATTTTGAAGAATGTTGGTAATCAAACAGTTGGTGGTAGCCATTTACTTTAAATTGTCTGGTTACCAAAATTCTTTAAAATATCATCTTTTGTGTTAAAGAAAGAAACTCATACAGGTTTGGAACAACATGGGGGTGAGGAAATGGTGAATGATTTTCCATTTTTGGGTGAACTATCCCTTTAAGCTCAAACAACAGAATGGCATTATGGTTAACTCACATCTCTTGTTAAAACTCAAATTTCTGCTTTTCTATTATTATTTCTATTTTTGTTTCAATTGTATGTGTCAAAGACACATAAGGGCCATAGATAAGACTTCTTTCCATTAATTCATAGGCTCTTCCTTTTCTGGTTGCTGTTCGTGTGAAAAGACTGGAGACATTTCCCCCAGTACACAGCCATGCAGCCGGAGGAGCCTCAAGTTAGATCCAGCCCTGTCTTAACTTCCCCGGTCATAACTGAGTCCAAATGACATTGCAATCTCATTTCTTCATTCAACACAAGAAGAACTGAATTGCAACTTCACCACCATTAAACTACTTTCTTCTGAGACAGCACCCGTACACTCATTCAACGGCTAATGCAGCAATCGTACTGTATATAATCACATCCTCCCAGTGTTTGCTAATGGACACTTAGGCCCTGTCCTAAATGTCCCCCTAAGCCCTCCTGGTCGTCAAGTCCACACTTTCGGGACATAATGCGGCCTTAGTTCCAGAATCAATTAATTAACACTGATTGCCAGATGCAATCAAAGTGTCATCCTGGTGAGCATGGCCTCATTAGCCCCTGCTGGTAGTTAGATGTCCTAATTATACTAGCTGCAAAAAGCATCCTTCTACATCGGACAACATACAGAGTTAGCCGTATGTTTTGATCAAATAAAAATGTTTGCCAAGCAACATTTAAATTGTAAATATTGAATAATATATCTTTAATTACCAGCAGCCAATTCTTTTTTGGAAGGATCTCATACTTCCGGGGGTCCTATTGCAGCTGAGCAAGACACATTGAAATGAACAGTAGTTTTTTCAGGTATTATAGACCTCTCTGGATGGCACCACAAGATGGTGCACATGTCCTGGTGGTGCACTAGCAACTACCACTGTTGACTGTCCATTTCACGCTTTAAAGTGTCAACAATCTGTCAAATATCTGTCACATTCAAGCCAAATATCATAAATGACTTTAAATTGTACATAGACCTTTTGGAACAAACTATAAACAAAAAAAGCACTGAAAATGTTTTAAATGCCATGAAATGTGCAATTTTGATTGCAATTAAATGCAACTTTTTTTTTTCCTGGCAGCTGATGTTCTTAATAATATTACAATGCAAGATCCATTGTACTTGTGGCATTAAACACATTGTCCTACTTTCAATTAGGTGTCTTTAACTGCTATTTCCTAACATTTAAATTACTAATTTAAAACAATGCACTCATTGTGTGCACATGTTTTTATATTGTACTTCTATAAAAAAATACCTGCATGTAATTACAGCTGTAATACGTTTCTGTAATTACATCTATCCAAACCTTAACCTACCCTTAAACCTACCTATACCCCCAAAGCTGTTATTAAATTTACCTGTATCCATCTTAATAGCAGCAAAAGCATGAACATGAACCCAACAAGTACATTGTACTTATTTTTGATGAAAGTACATAGTAGTTAAGGACACCTAAACGTGTGACAGAACACACAATTTATATATCAGTTAGACAACCAGCTTATCAAAGTAATTTCTTTAATTATATATTGATTTCTTATATAAAATGTATTGTGCATTCAACTCATTTCTAAAAAAGAATAGCATTAAGCATATAAATCAATATAAAAATCAATTTAAAAATGAAAGATAGTAAAACCTATCAACTTTACAGTGCATAGTAAAAAGAAATAAACAGAGAAATTTCAAATGTTTAGGGCAAAATAAATGAAAAAAGAGTAATCTATACAGAGTTAAAAAAGAAATTCACTTTACTCTAACAAATGAGTACATAATCCCTGAGAACATTGCAAACCTACTGTCAGATGCTGTTTTCGGCCTTGAGAGAACAGGATGCTATACACAGATAGCACACCTAAAGGTCAATTGTTTTCTTTATGTAATGGCAATGTAAAAGCATAATTTTGGGTTGTGAACATGAACTGACTCATTATTTGAGACAAGACTGGTTCAGAGTTCTGCCTCAGACTGGAATCGGCAGGTTGTCCCTGAAACAGGAAGCTTGTGGGGGAACCGGGTAGCTGCATAGATCCTGATATATACGAGCCATCTGATCACTGGCCATGTCATCTGAGATCTCCAAATTCCCACTGCTATACTGGGATCGCCGGGCGGTCACTGCATCCACCAGTTGCTGACAGTTCAATGCTGTGATCTGTTTGGATAAAGAATTAGGTTATTGCTGTGTTTCATAGTGTTTTCAATTCAGGTAATTAAGAATATGAATAGAAAATGTGAAAAGAAGCTAATTGTCTAAAAGGAACCTAACAAATGTAATTAGTATTAAGAAATTAGTCTTTAAGGTTCAGTTTAACACTTTACAATAAGGTTCAAAAAGTTAATACACCAGGCATCATGCACTAAAAATGAACAACTTTTTACAGCTTTAATTAATCTAGGGTAATGTTAATGATAACACTTTACAATAAGGTCTCGTTTGTTAACATTAGTTGATGTATTAACTAACATGAACAATACATTTGTTTGTTGTTGTTTTTTTTAGTGTTAATTAATAACAATCCAACTGTAATGAAACTAGACCAATTAGCTATTTGTATTAATGTATTATTGAAAAATAGTAGATTTATAAATGAACATGGTGACATTTTACAATAAGGTTTCATTAATAATGAAACCTTATTGTAAAATGTCACAATGTTCATTTATAAATCTACTATTTTTCAATAATACATACAAATAGCTAATTCATATAACTAAAATATATTAGTGTATGCAAAAATGTACATTTACTTAGATTAATAAATGCTGTAAAATAATTACCCATTGTTAGGTCAGGATAGCTACTTCAGTTAACAAATTGAACCACTGTAAAATGTTAGTTTTATTTGTTTATTTTATTTATACAAATTATTTTAACATAATAGAAAGAAAGCATGTTTTAATATCATGAATTGAAGAATACACTAAATGAGATCATTCATGTTTGTAAATGTAATATATTTTATATTAAATACCTGCACAATGATTAATTTGCTCTTGACAGTGCTGAAATCATTAAACTCTTCCCCAAAGCAAAGCATGATGGTGGGCTCTGGAGGGTGACAATGACCCTCTTGATATAACTGCAGTGCTGCAAGAAAATAAAACAAACAAATGTAAATATTTTTATGTGTGATCTAAATCTTATCCATTGTTGATTAGTACATAATTAATAAATCAGATCAATTGTATATCAATAATAAGGACAATAAATAAATTGATAAACTAAACTCACATTTATTAAAAAATATTTATTTATTTAAGAGTTATTTACTTTGACGATAACTTTATTAATGATCTTTCAGTACCTTATACAGTATACTGACATGCAATTGTGAACTGTATTTCAACAGTCTAGCACTGAAATAGACTTTTACATAAAATCTGGTGTTATAACATGTCTAGGAGGATCTTTGTTTACCTTGCAGGAACCCGGCAGTGTCAAAGATCTTCACCACAGCATCTCGCTCTAGTTTGCCAGGGTTGGGGTTGTACTGAGTATCCTGGCCACTCCAGAATACTCTGCTCTGACACAGACGCTTGATAAAGATGCCCTCTCGGTTGGCACGCAGCAGTATGCCACGCTCCAAGTGACTGAAGAGCTTACGGGTGACATGACGCTGGCGTTCATTCTCAATGAGGTCAATGGATGGGAAGCGGATGTTCTGGAGGCTGTCTGGTCCATACAAGAAGCCATTAGCCAAAGGGGGCTGACAGGGGGAAATACGGCATCCCTCTGGATGAGTGGTAACCATGCTGCCAACCAGCCGACCTCCATAGTAGAAACCGATCATCATCTGAGAGAACGCTGGAGACATGGAGAAATTTGTGGTCAATCATCCCACTAAAGCAGCAGTAAGACTATCAAGAAGTTAAAACAGGGTTCCGAGGGTTTTCCATGATTTTTCTAGTCAACTCTATTTACTTGGAAGGATTTTAAAAATTAATATATACAAAGAGATAATGTTTTCTTCAAAGTCTTCATATATATATATATATATATATATATATACCATGATATTTCAAGGTTTTCCATAGAAGTAGGAACCCTAAATTTATTAATTAATGAATTATTAATTAATTATCAAATGCTAAATGAATTCTACCATTGTCACTTTGGGTATGAAAGATGATGAACAAAAAAATAAATTGTGTTGAATAATTGCTATAATTGATATAACATAAATAATATAACATAAATGGGGGCAGTCATGGCCTAATGGTTAGAGAGTCAGTTGCAGGTTCGCAAAGCACCTTACTCCCAATCATTCCCCAGGCGCCACAGCAAAATGGCTGCCCATTGCTCCAGGTGTGCGTTTTTTCACTACTCCTAATGTGTGAACACTAACTTGGATGGGTTAAATGCATTGGAAAATTCTGAGTATGAGTTACCATACTTGGCATTAACATGTCACTTTCACTTTACATACAACAGAAAACACAACACATACACAACAGAAATTACATACCAGCACTGAATGTCCCTGCAGGATCCTGATGAATAACAGTGGCTGTGAATATACATAAAACACATCAATATGAACACAAACGAGAAATTAGTCAATCTTACACTGTGCGTAGCATGTAAATGTGCAGCAGTGTTATTTTTACAATTTCTATTTAATATTTCTGAAATCAGTTCTCAAGAAAGTACTTATGTTAAATTTACTTTTATCTTCTTTCCTAAAAATGATTAAAATGTAAAGAAACAAGTCATAAACAGTGGTACCATTGTGAGATCCTTGCTGCCACCATTCCTGCACTGAAATCATGTTACTGCCTTCATCCAGGGGAGAATGACTACGCTTCAGGATGCTAATGTATTCCTCATTTGAAGACTGCACACAAACATTATGTAGACATGAGCCATTAGAAAAATGTAACCACAGTCCACAATGTATCTTTATTCCCCTCAATTCCTTCATCCTTTGTCATTCTAAGGGAAAACAGAGCATTTAACAGTAAGAGATATGGCAATACCTCTTTAGTAGGTCCATCCAGGTCTGGTGAGCAGCCCGTGACAGTGGGGTCAATGTCAGTGATTGTGCTTTTACCCACTACAAAATAAAATTTATGCCATTAATTCACTTATATTTTAAAGACAATGGGATATTTAGATAAATAGTAAAGGGTCACTCCGTAGAGTCACTGAACAACTTTTAATGTATGCCTGTAAAAATATGTCTCTGTGCTATTTCAAATGTTTCTTGGAAAATTCAAATGTTTCTTGGAAAAGAAAAACAAAGTGCATACACACACAGACACACAAACACACATACACTTCTGTTCCTCCTCTGGCACAATCCGGTACACTTTGTAAGGCTCAGAGATGTCAAGCTGGGATCGGTCAGTAACTTCCTCAAAATCTGGGCTCTTGTTGAGTGCACAGCGCAATCTGGTCTTCCATGTCGCTGGTTCAGCTTTATCTCCCTCCTTAAACTTCCCTTTAAATATCGCCCACGCCTGAGAAAACACATGCTTAGTCAGACATCACCACAACATCAGAATTACTCACAAAGAAATAGACTTGTAAGGTAATTGAGAAGCTGAATATGGTGCACATTAGTAGAATGATAGAACGATATTTTATGATTCTTGATGAGAGAATGATTCTTTTTTTAAAGAATTATATACATACAGGCAAATTATTTCATTAATATATGGAAATTGATTTAGCAAGATCAACTGTCTATGCAAGGTTATAAATCTGTGGAATGATAGGCAATAAAAAATATAATTTAGTACGCCCACCAACGAATATTTACTGTAAGAAAAAAAAAAAAAAAAAACTAGCAGGAAATTGAAAGCAAGCAATGTCAAACTGGGACAAAATCTAAAAAGGGGTACCAATCTTTTGTCGGTTTTAACATTAGTTAATTTAAAACATAAGATGCACATTCAGATGTTACGCTTGGGGAACCTTTTGTGTACCCAATGAGATCTAAATACATTTTAATAATAAATTACGATCTACATATTACAAAATAATGGTATAATTATTTTATAAAACAAAAACATTATTATTATTATTATTATTATTTATATTAAGTTAACGCTTACTTTGAAGATGGACGCATCCACCTCTTGGTTGTAGTCTTGTTTTCCTGCATGTTTCCAAGGGATTCGAAACATGGTGTGGTTCTCATCCTCCCATAGCAGTCCATTATATATGTTACTGCTTATCTGTTCTATAAGCCACTGTTTCAGTCTGCGACCACCCGGATTCATCCTTTTACACTCTTATTTAACTCTATGCCGTTACCGCGGGCTGCTGAGGACTATACATTTCACAATCACTACTATCCACGCAGCTGTATTTATATGAGTAAGACACCCGCCTCAATCGAATAAAGAATGTCGTGACAGCGGATTGGTCTGCGCAACGCCCAGGCGTCCAATCACAACGTGTCATGGCTGGCGATAAATGAATATGTAAATTACATTCTATGAAGCGGACGCATTTACAAGAAATCTCAGTCTAGTTCACTTTTGGAGGTGTGAGGTGACCTGAGGGGAAAGAGCGGAATGAGTCTTTACAGGCTCAACCTTTTGATACCTAAACCCAGTTTACTGAAGTTTCCTAAATATCCCACGGGTTGGATCTGAAGATAAATATCCTAAAAATAAAACCCTTGTTAATATGCCAGTATAAAGCCTATACATCTTTGATGCAGGTTTGATTTAAAGGTATACTCCACCCAAAAATGAAAATTCTGTCATTATTTACTCCCCCTCAAGTTGTTGCAAACCTGTATGAGTTTTTTTTTCTTCTGCTGAACACAAAGGAAGATATCTGTCTTTGTGTTCAGCAGAAGTAAGAAACTCATACAGGTTTGCAACAACTTGAGGGGGAGTAAATGATGACCAAATTTTCATTTTTGGGTGGAGTATAAGGGATATATAAGGGATATCAGGAATTTGGTTTGTTCAAACCATGGTTTTGGCATTCTTGATGAGTTAAATGTTTATGTATCAACATAGACCTTAAACTATTCAGATTATGAATCATTATACAGCATACAACAGTTGTCTATTTCATGCTACAAACATTTTATGTGAATTAACATTGTTTGTCATATCGTAGCTATCTAAAAAAAAGTATCTTTTAATTGGAAAGCAAACAAATGTTTCACATGACTCAAATGGTTGTGGTTTATCTTCAGAGCATCCATAGATTTAATAATGACCATTTAAATAAAGCCTGATTGTGGTGGCATGTTCTGAAATGGTTGACATCTCATGTCAAAGCCACGTCTAACCTGCTGTCAGGACTCAGGAAGTTTAAAGATCATGTGGAAACCATAAAAAGCAGATCTTGGAAAGGTGAGGTCGCATGCTGGTGGTGTGTTTGAGGATATGAGCACAGGTAGTGGTCGTCGTGAAGAAGTATTCTCTTTAAGACAGTTTGAGCGGAAGCTGCATGACACGACTAATAAAAATAAGTCATTCTTTTATAAATTCTATAAAAATAAGTCAAACATTTTTTTTTTCTTTTTTTTTTGGGGGGGGGGGGGGGGGGTCTTAGTTGCCAAGTAAAAAGTGCATTCAATCATTTTATACCATGTTACTTAATATATAATATACACAAAGGAAAAGTACATCATTTATGTCTGTGTTTTTCAAAAAAGAAGCTACTTTGTTGTTATTTTAACTAAACCCAATTCATCACTTTATATAAGGCTTCTCACAACTCAATAATAATAGGCTAAATATAAGCTCATGTTTAATTACATTGTTTAATGTCTGCAATAAAATATCTTGCAAATAGTTTTTTTTTCAGTTTGAACAACAGTATAGCCTATAAGTAATAAAAATAATAAATCATACAATAGAAGTCCAAATAAGGCTAGTTTAGTGTTTTAGTGCAGTCTGTCACTTAAATATTATTTATACCATAATTTCAAAGCTGAAAAATCTAAATGTATCCTTTTCATGTTTTTTTTTTAAGAAAATAGAACAATTATGGAGACTCAAGCAAACAGACTCAAGCAACTTATTAATGGATTTAATGAAAAAAAAAAGAAATTCCCTTTGAATCAGTGCTTATTTATCTCAAGATAAATCTAAACACTTCAGAGTGCTCACATTAGCACTAGAAAATAAAGGCGAGTGCTCTGCAATCTCTTTTTTGAAATGAAATGCACATGTGGAACTGCCTCACATGCCATTACTGTCCAGCTAGGGTTAAAGCATGTGGTAAAGCAGAGACTGGTGTCATGTCTGCTTTCATCTGTTGCTGCCTGATGCACTGTATTGGTTGCAGGTTTGAGGGTAAATGCGAGAGCTCTGGGTCATCCACTCCGGATCATTTTGTCGCCCCTGTTCTGCATATAGACTCAGTAATATAGAAATATAGAAGTAATATAGACTCATATAGACTTTGACTCATTCCTGGTCTTCAAAGGGGCTGGGTGTATAGCTGGTCCACAACAATGTCCGGTACTGAAAGAGAGAGAAAAAGAGAGAAAAGAGAGAGAGAGAGAGAGGGAGAGAGAGAGAGAGAGAGAGAGAGAGAGAGAGAGAGAGAGAGAGAGAGAGAGAGAATGCAATTATGTTAACCTGCTCTGCCATCAAAACCAGAACAGACTGAAGGTTGTGGTATTACTCAGAGACGACAGCTTATTTTCAGTTGCTGTGCATGGTCTGGGGTAGAGACAAAAAAGGGAAATCATAACATCTTCCTTTATGCCATTTTAATATATCAAATGTTTTCCAGATGCCTAACTGAAAGTAGATGTGTGTTGTCAGGGTTCGTTCTTTGTTGTACTGGGGCGACCTCAGTGACTCAATTGCGTCTCTTTACATAAACAAAAACTCAAAAGTTGAGTGACAAGCTTTCATTTGCTCATTAAAATAATGACCCCATTCAAACACCTACAACAGGCTTTTCTGGAAAATCTTAAACTCACAAGAAATTAATTGGTTAGAAATCAGTTTCACTTTTGGTCACAATGCCCTGATCAAACGTTGAACAAAAATTCACTGATCAATCCAGAATCACTCCATCAATGAGTGTTGGTATGGTAGTGGCTGAATGGTATGACATAATTTTTCTTAGGAATCCCATGCAGGCTTCATCTGGGAATGGAATCACAATATTTTAATTCAACCAGAGCTCTGTTTAAATAACCTTATCCTCACATCATCCCCTATCATGAGTAGGTTATTTTCCACAGAAATCTGTATCATCCACTAGAAACAAACTATCTCAGCATGCATTACTGCATTTAACGGTCTAGTGCAGCTATGTCACGTCTTGAGGAGGGAGTTGGGAATTCCCTGGCACATAGCCCTGTTCAGGGTCTATGCTGGAATAGAGTGGGAGGACAGACATCCGGTTAGTTTCCAGGCAGACTGTCCTTACTAGTTAAGGCATGCTGCACAACATGTTTTCAAGTTTTGTACAAGTTGTACACTAATACATACTCATACTTAGAACAATTTTTGAATCACTAATATCCTAAATAACTTAAAACAACTGACTGCAAAAACATATTTGTTACAAATGTACGCTGAACACAAACTTGACTATTTTTCTTATCTTAAAAATCCTCTGATCTAAAGACTTGTGCTAAAAATGCATGACATTGGTTTTAGATAAATATATTTTGAAATGATTTACTCAAAATCTAAAGTAAAATTTAGCCAACAAGTGTCCATGTGTAAATGAGCACAACAACAGTACTGCTTAAAACGCATGCCACGATACCAAAGATGGGTAAAATAAATAAATAAAAATGAATAATAGTGATAATTACTAGGTGCGTGTGTGGTTCTGGTATATGTTGTGGAGAAATTGTTAGGTCCCCATGAAGAAAACCGCTTATAAATCATCCTAAATTATGTTTTTTTTTTTTTAATATAAAAATGCAGAACGTTTTCTGTTATTGGGTAGGTTTAGGAGTGGGGGTTCAATCTTCAGCTGGCTGGCAGCAGCCGCCACTGGCATGTCACGTGACCTGTCAGTGGCTGGCTAGTTGTCTTTGCCAAGTTTCAGAAACCAATGATTTTTGATTGAGTTTTTGTGTTCCTCCCTTTCAAGCTCATTTATTATGCAACTGTTGATATGATTATGTTCTTTATTATGACTGATGTTTTGGGGACGGTTATCCCAATTAAACGAGTCCAATGGCCGTGATCAGACTGGCAGCTTACTGACGCTTTGCTGGATGCATGGATTCGGCCGCTGCTGATCTGCATGAGCGTCCAGCAAAGCGTCAGTAGCTGCCAGTCTGATCATAGTAGTCCCCAAAACATGAATTAGACTAATGAATAGATGCATGACATTATATTCTTAATAAGAAAACAATTTATTTCTGTGCAGCAAGAGTGTGAGATGCAGCGATAACTAGGATGTGGCTGTCTTCAGAATTAACTATTCATCAAGCTCATGTAAAATAACGCACCTGTCTTAACATGTATATTCTGTTTAGTTAGTGCCTGTCATGTCTGTATTAGTTTTTGTCTCCATAGTAACTCATTAGTTGATTATTCTGTTCACTTGTTTCATAATAAGTTCCCTTTGTGTTTCATGCATTTAAACCCTGAGTTCCCCTATATTCTCTGTTCTCATTTGTGCTAATGTGATTCCCTTTTGAGGGAACTTAACACTGCGTCGAGAATTCGACACATTGGGGACGCTCACTAAGCGTGCGCCTCTGAAGTATGAATGAAACTATTCCAATCCTGATTGGTGTTGCATCGTGACGTAACATGTGACGGCATAGCCGGAAGTATAAAAGTGACGCGGTCACAACACATACCAGCTATCACTCTTCAGCAAGCGCTCTATGTTTGAAACTGTCTGTCCTATTTATTGTTGCCTGTCTTTGAGAGTATGGCTAATGAACAATTTACTAGATGTGTTCACCCCTGCCCTAGATTTATTACGGGTGGGGACACACATCCGTTATGTGTAAATTGTTTGGGAGTGCAGCACGCACAGGCAGCTCTCGAGGGAGCGGTCTGTGAGCCATGTGAACACTGTGAAGCACTCTCACTAAGAGTGCTGCGCTCCCGCTTGGCTATTTTTTCTAAGGATGGCCAAGCTCGCGATCCTCGCGGTTCAGGTCCCACATCCGTTGAGGCGGCGCGGAGGCTTAGATCATGGGGATCGCAGAAGAATCTCGCAGATGAGAACGAGACTGCCGAAGCACTTTCTCGTTCATCATCTGCGGATTCTCTAACGCTTCCTCATGGTGCAGAAGCCCGCGCTGCGGCTTCTTCTGCCCGTGACGAGTGCCCAGTGCTTGAGCTATCCGCTTCCGAGGAAGTGGATGTGCTCAGCATCGGGAGCGCGGA